GGAAGGTGACAACAAACGGAATTCTATCTGCGCGGGTCGTCTTATCTTTGTATTCAATGAGGATATCTCGATCTTTTTCTTGGGCTTTATCAAAAGCGTCTGTGATGTTTTTGCTTTTGTATCCTCTGGATTTTAGTTGTTTTTTTAGTTGTCCCAAACGATAGTTGAGTTATGGATTCCGAGGAGCAAATTGCTTTAGTCTGATGGCTTGACTGTAAGGTATGCTCCTGGAGCAGTGTTTCGGGTGACAACTTTTTGGAGAAAGGAACTGGTGTTTATCAGTTTTCTTTGTGTGGAGATCAGTTGTAATGATCCCGTTTTTTACAAATGTGGTGGTGTCGAGAAAAACAATTTTCTCGCTTGAAAATTCAGATGTAAATTTAATTCAAAAGGATGCGTTCTTCAAGATCCCCCATAAAAATGTTGGCAAAAGAAGGTGCCATTTTTGGTCCCATACTAGTTCCGTCAATCTGTAAAAAGTGCTTGTCGTTGAAAATAAAGTTGTTATTTTCAAGCACTAGCTTGAGCAATTGAACTAGACAGTCAGTTTGTGGATGTTTATCCTTTCGAGTGTTCCATACTTTTTCACACGCGGCTATTCCTTCATCTTTTGAAATATTTGTGAATAAAGAACACACATCCATCGAAACCAAAATTGTGTCATTAGGTAAAGGACTTTTTTTTCAAATAGTCAGTTGTATCTTGAATATGAGATGGCAGTTGTCTAACATGTGGTCTAAGGTGGTAATCAACAAATTCATCAATAATTTTATGGGGGATCTTGAAGAATAGTATTTATATTCTTACTTGTGGAACTTGCAAGCTGCTGGACTTAATGAGAGAGATGAAAAACAGTTCTACCCAAAACCAAAGGAATAAATCCTGAACTTCATTCTATTTAACTAAAACACCTATTTGTTTTGATTTAAGAATTGCTATGTACAATAAGCGGCAAAAATATTTTTCTAGACAATTTACAAACATATATTTTTTATAGAACATCAATAAATTTTGTTTAACTTTTACTCAAATTTTTTGTAGTTCAAGCTACAAAAATATGTTTTTTGTCATGCATCCGATTTCACCTTGAGAGATGCACACGCCTGATGAAGCTAATTTGTTTAGCTAAATATTGCGTGAATAATATTAAATATAACAACTAATTTTATAACACTCATTAGTCTGTTAAAGTTACATTCTTAGGCACTTATATAATTTAATGTAGTAACTGCATCAGTTTATTTACAAACTGATCCACGCCTAGATAGATTGAATGTTGATTGTTGCTATTTTTAGACACTATATATACATATAATATATATACAATAATTTAGTACACAGCGTCGTCCTTTTTATCCTGTGATATTGGCCAATGGACGTTGCAAACTTCAACCACCAATTTTGTAAATAATCTTGAACTTCATCCAAATTTTGAATTCTTTACTAGACAGCGAAATTTATGTACAGTGAGCTGCAAAAGTTTCTTATCTTTATCCGATTTCACCTGGATAGATGCACGCTTGATGAAGCTAGTTTGTCCAGCGAAATATTGCGGTTATTTTTTTATCGCGTTGTAAATATTTTAAACATTCTAATATTTACATACTCAATAGTGTGTTAAAATTACATTGTTAGGCAATTTATATATATATACAAGTCTAAATTGAAAACAACGTTCAAACCTATGATTGCGTTGGATAAAACCGCAATTTTTATACGTGTGCATTCAAAATAATTTCTTGGTAGAAGGGTCTATAAATACAGCACAAACAAACATTTTCCAAAAGACCAAAAAAGTGAAAAAAGTATATTTTAACAAAACGCATTTGACTAGCAGGTCGAACAACGGATGTTCTTAAACCCTGCTGACTGCCATTGGCGATTGCCAAATAAACGGATCACCAGATGTAACAAAATGGATCTTAACCATTGATTTAATACCAAACAAAAAACAATAAACTTGCGGAAAAGATGGTATTCCGCAAACAAAAGGTGCAAAAACTAGTACACTATATCCGGATTTCGACAATTAATGTCTCTTCAGTGATGTTAGGAATCGAAACGGTATTTGGAAGGCCATATAATTTACCTCAATTTAGGATAGACTCTTGAATTTTGAAGAGTCGAAATAGGATGAACAGATCATATAAACCCGAAGGCAAATATAATACAAGCCCAAACGAAAAAATATAAACAAGTCTAAATTGAAAACAACGTTCAAACCTATGATTGCGTTATATATATATGTTACAGTGAATTTGTAAAATCAGCGATTTTGTAAAATCCCTCGAATAATTAGTGATCTTGTAAAATCACTAACAGTTTCAGTGATTTTGTAAAATCCCTGAAATTGTCAGGGATTTTATAAAATCACTGAAAATATTGCTAGGAATTTTGTAAAATCACTGATTACAAATTTAAACTTGATATTAGAAATGTATTTTTCTGAATACAAATAAACCATTGATTTTGAAATATACTTTTTTAATAAATAATGCTAGTTAAAACTATTGTACAGTGGTGATAATAAAAGGCATATGAACTGATATTAAGACTCTAGTTTCCCTTTTTTTGCATGATAAGTTTTGGTGACACCTGCTACACAATTGCCTTGCTTTTTGACAGGTACACATATTTTGCTCATATTTATTCTTTCCAGACATTTACATTTTAAAAAATCTTGTCCATCACAAATGGAAGACAGTTTAACTGTTTGTCGAAAAGGTATGAAATTGTCAATAGATACAGCTGACAGACTCAAAAGCAAGGAATCAGTGGGTTCAAGCTGGTTTCTAGTGTGGGACTCTAACAAAGCGCCATGTTTGGTAACAAGACTATGTTGTACATGTCTTCAAGACTTCAAAACTTCAAAGTATATCACAATAAGATACTCTCGTCCTGATATGCATGTAATATTTGCCACTGGGTCCCATAACCTTAACCAATCAATTTCTTACTCTTTCCATGTGTGTTTTTCTCCTCTCATAACTACAATCACTCCAATTATATTTGTTTATAAAATTTGATATAATTTGTTTACTCTTTTCAGTTATTAAAGAAGCACTATATAATAAATTTTAACTTAGTTTCACATAGAAATTATAAGAGCTTCTTTTGTCTTCTTTCTGTGGCTTTTTAGCAATAAGTTTTGAAATTTCTTCATTTTTTTACCCGGTTCCATATTTAACATTTTAAATTTTCCCTCAATTTTTTGAAGTAACATTTGTGTGTACATACCTGCCAACCTCTGAAACCTTCAAAGAGGGAGATCTCCCTCTCAGCTATGACAGCTGAGGGGGAGATTTTGCGCGAACGACATTTTCAAGTGAAATATATGACCTGTTTATTTATTCATCTACAAAACACATATAAGAGTTAATAGTTATACATTATTTCATATCCTGTGTTGGTTGTCTTCTTTCATCATTTTTGACATGAGTGTCCCATCAGGCAAGAAAATCACAATGATATGTCTCTGTTTCAAGTGATATATCACTTTGAACCTAAAAGTGCATTGTATGTACGCACATTCACATTCAAATAGCATTAGTTCAATACATTCCTTATAAATTTCAATTAAAACATTGAATAGAAGTATAGATCTCTTAAATGATTTTCAAAATATAATTATTTTTTTAGTCCTAAGGCATTTAAAATCATTAAATTACCATCCTTATTATGATTCTTTGTTCAATTTGTATTTAATTTATATTCTTTTATCAATTCACATTATTTTAAAGAGGGTAACCTAAAACATGATTAAACAGGGGAAGTAACCCGAAATTTCTTTGAAGTGTTTTCAAATACACAAATCTTGAGGTAAAAGTCGTTAATGATCGTGAATTAGTATTTTGTTTGACACCCCAGCTGTCAAGTGAAGCCATTTAATTTCACATGGTCTGTGATTTACAGGTAACAGCCAGGGGCGGATCCAGCCATTTATAAAAGGGGGGTTCCTAACCCAGGATAAGGGGGGGGGGGGGGTGGGGGGGTTCCAACTATATGTCCCCATTCAAATGCATTGATCGTAAAACAAAATGGGGGGGGTTCCAACCCTCGGAACCTCCCCAACACCCCCTTGGATCCGCCACTGACATCTACCCTCATCAGCGACACAAAAGGGTAATTAATGTTGACTGGTCATTCAAGGTTAAAATATCCAAAAGCGGGAGATTCTGTACTCCCGCGCGGGAGCGGACTGGCAAGCGGGAGATTTCCGGAATTTCGCTATTGAGAGGGAAGTCTCCCGCTCAAAACGGGAGGGTTGGCAGGTATGTGTGTAAGTTTGCTCTTGATTTAAAGACATATGTGTCTGAGCCATTTTCTCCAGTATGTCAGTTGTTTGATGAAAATTGCTCACTTAGTATTAATATAAAAGGCTAAATTAACCTCAAACTTGTTGAGTGTAACTGCTGTAGACTTTTCTAAAAAGAATTCCTTAATCAAAAACAACTATTTGTTTTACAAATTCACTGAATTTAATCAGGGAATCTGTTAAAAAGATCTTAATTATTTCAGGGATTTTGTAAAATCCCTAGTCAAAATCAGGGATTTTACAAAATCACTAATCAGTTCAGTGATAATACAAAATCACTGAAATTTTCGGGATTTTACAAAATCCATGATTTTACAAATTCACTGTAACATATATAGGTCAAGATAAGGTATTCAAATGCACATAAGATCCATAGGCTTGCTCCTCTATTCTAGATAAGATTCCACCAAAGCCAAATGCTTTGAATGACAGAAAACATTATTAATAAACGTAGCCACGAGAATACCCACGTTTAGCATTACCATGGGCAGAGTTAATCTTTCTTTTTAATAACGCGATCCCCCTTTTAACATCAATCATTAGAATATAATTTTTTTTATAGGAGAACGTTTCACGAAAATCAGTGCAGAAAACGCTTTAAATTTTCTATTTGAAAGGTGTCCAAAACTTAAGCATTGAATAAAAGGGACAATTTATTAACACTGTTGAATTTTAAGAATCCGTATCTGATTGACATCTACTCTTCACAATACTTGTTTGATGTACTTCTCAGAAATATATCAATTCTGTGTAGCTTTTAAGTCATCAGTAGATGTAAATAAAGAATTACCTGAAAGTCAGTTAAAAAAACATATTTACTAGCTTTACTAGCAGTCAAGGGAACCATATAATTGCTGAAATAACTTTTTATGATTACATCTTACTCTTTTCCACTCTGATATTAAATTTTTTGGTGATCCATACCTATGAGCCGAAAATAAATAACCAAGTCTGTCAGGTACATAAGATACAGAAAACTTTCTTTCATTCCAAAGTTCTATATTTAACGATTTTGCAACGATTCCAAGAAAAACGTCGTCAATAAAAAGGGGTTTAGTATATGGAATCTGTTCTTTCAAAAGCTTTGCAACAGACATAGCCATTACCATCGATCCACCACTTAAATATGGCGGCCATGTCTTTTCAGGGTAGTCTTGCCAAGACACATACCACTTACTACCCGTTTTGCGTTTTGGTATCGCTCCTATGTATTTGTGACCTGCAATCAAATTTTTTGTCTGCTTTCTTACATGAAAATCTATATAGTTCAGTAGTTTTGGAAGATTGACAAAGTAATCATCATCAACGAAGAATATAAACTTTGACTTTGGACAATGTGTGACTGTCCAGTCTAATCCCATAATCGTTTTCAAGGTGTTGTTGAAATAATCATCAATGAAATTCTGTTGTACAATATCTTTGTATAGGTTATACTCCATATTAATATATTGTTTGATTAATGGCGAGTATCCTAATAAAAAAACTAATTTTATATTTGGATTATTAAACTTGGCCCAAGTTGTTCGAATAGCTTCCCTGTTTCCAATTTGTAAAGCACTAGATTTGACGACAATTAATAAAAATGGATCAAATTGTCCTCCATCGAGCTCGCATATCTTTAATGGTAAATGAATATATTTAAATGACTGATATTTGGTAAATGTAACTTTCTCTGTTGTTTTTTCTGTTGTGAAAGTGTCTTCAGTTGTGGTTACAGAGTCAAAAGTTGTTGTTTCCGTTTCAGCTATGCTAATCGGTTTGCGAATGTCCCGTTTATTAACCGTTTCAGTATCAGCTGTAGAATTCCATATTAAATGTAAAACAAATAATGTCACTAGTATTGTAAATCCACTTTTGAGAATCTGTTTAACCAGAATTATAACGTTTTTCACCATTGTTCTTTCACAAGCTGTAAAAAAATAACAATCTCCTTTAATCCAGATTATTATATCATTATAAATAGACCAGTATATGCATTATGTTGTCTTCCCTTATATAAAAAGATATGAAATCAAACATTCAATAACCGGTACGTGTGCAGATTAAAGTATCTAGGGGTAACGCAACGATATAAAGTTATGGATCTTTATCATATTTTGAAGAATGTTGTGTTTACCTAAATAATCTTTAAAGATTGAAGTTTTACTTGATGAATAATTCGAATTGTCTAGTTCGTATAAAATGATATTTTATTGTAAACTAATTGTTTTATCGATTCTGTGCTGATGACTAAGGGGCTGTAAATGTCAACGAAATATGCATTTTTTTGTACTACATGTATAATCTTCAAATTTTCACTTTTTAACAAGAGCCAAGAATCTTCATTTAAATTCAAATAATATGCATAATATACGTCCGAATTAGACAACGACGTGTTCTTTCCCGCTAACTTTATTGACCAATCCTTAATAATGATAAATGTCCCTTATCATGCATTGAAAATAAATTTTCAGATTCAGCGTTCAAACCTATGATTGCGTTGAATAAAACCCGCAATTTTTATACGTGTGCATGCAAAACAAATATATATGTATATTCAACAAGCTCTAGTTGCACGAAAGAAATCTGAGAGATCGCCCATTTCCCACCTTAACAAAATGCTACTGTTCCACTAAAATGTTATGAAGAGATTTAGATGTTACCAGTTCATGTATTTTGTATTATATAGTTTATGTTAATCGCAAAATCAAAAAGAAACAATACCAAACAGATAATATGAATTAAATAACCTACACTACCAATACTTATCATTAGAGACAAAAGTATCTTCATTTAAAGTTAAGAAAATTAACTTACCATCCTAATATATGCAGGTATTCATGTGTAAATGTGAAAACCTTTTCCACAGTTTCTGTTAAATAAATAATGTTGTGAGAAATGATGAAGGTGTGGGCTGCAGCGGTGACCCATTCTTTTATCAACGATAACCTATAATGGATTATGTAAATTAGTATTTAATTTAGTATCATCTTGATTTGTAAAATGAAATTTGAAAGATATTAATACAGATTAAGGGGCTAAAGAAGTCATGAATTTTATTGTTCCTTTAATGGCCGATTTCATTTACATTTCCTCTTTTCAAACCCTGAAAAGACAATTTATTTTCAATCAAATAAACTTCGGAATATTGATATCGATATATTTGTGTGCCTAGTCATATGGGCGAATTTGATTTCAATTGTTCAAATTCTTTGATGATTGTGAATAAGATTTGGTTATTTACATGACAAAAGTATACAAATGACAAATATGTCTTGTGATCTTTCTTTGAAGGCTGTGCCTTTAAAACCGATATTGATATCAAATGGACAATACACATATCATTAAAATTAATTCCTATCAAATAACGGGTTTCAAATTTTAGAATACATATGTATCATATTTATTTAAAGATGTTGTATGCATCTATTGTTAACTTGCCCTGGTTAGGGAAATTCGTGTGAATTTTTCACAATTTTTTAATCAATTTTTCTTTTAAAATACACGCACACACATTAATTCCTTTCAACTAAAACATTATTTTGAACAATTAATAAAAAGTTGTAAACATTATCTCCTCTGTAAGGATGTTCGCTATTCTTGTTATTGACTTTTTGTCAGATATTCGGAATCCTCTAGTTTTATCCATGTAGTTCCAATAAAAATTATGTTCGGTAGCCCCTACTTTTCTTTTCATAATATTTATAACATATCGTTTAAAAAGCCAATTTTGAAAATCTTATAAAATCCTGTTTTTTTTTAATAGTTTTTGAAAGAATAAAGGTGCCAATGTTAAATGAATGAAAAATCTAGAGAGAATCATTTCCCGCCAAATTTTTAATTGATTATATAAGGACATAAACCTGTCAATATTTTTATTATATTTTTTAAGATCAGTTATTTACATACTTTCAATGCATAACAGTTTTTTAAAAAGCTTGTTTATTTTGAAACAGAGGAGCGACCATCCTTAATGACAACGGCTTCAAGTACTGTTTTGCATTTTCACACTTACTACCTGACGGACAAAACAATTTGCACGATGAGAAGAGGTTTCAACATTAGTGCCAATAAGATGATAACTTTACATTTTTTTTTTTTTTTTTTTTTATAAATTTTGATATCGATTAAACGAAGAATATGACAAATTAATTCGGCCTGTTGGTAGGTCCATTGCTTTATATTCACTTATCGCTGTAAAATGCTGATTGTGAAATACAACTTTTCATGATGGAATCATACTTCCACTAAAAATTTCCATATTTGTTTTATAAAAATTAAAGTGTTCACCTCTTATGTTTTCTTAATCCTTGAAGTAAAATAAAATCTAGTTATACAAATATTTCGTTCATTGAAATTCAAGGCATCATTTCAATCATGTGCATATCGAATTAACTTAAAATTGAAAGCTCCTGAATCAAGTGCCATATGAACATAATTTGTTTGCACCTGTCTTAAGTCAGGAACCTAATATCTATCAAGTCTATTAAGTCGTTCTGAAATTTTGTCAGTAAGGAAATAATGCATAAATATCGATAACAGAAATCGCTTAATATATCACTTTGTACACATCTCCCACCAACGCCTGACTCATCGTAAAAACAGAAATACAAAGAAAAGCAACAACGAAAAACAGCTTGTGCAAATAGTCTGACTTAGTACATGCACACTATGTGGTTGGTTTAAACCAGTTTTATGAGCTCACAAACATCCTTTTTGCATGTCTGCAATACGAGGGACAAACACTAGTAAATCAATTTCGATCTGGAACCGTAATTTTGACCTGAGCAGCTCTTAAATAACTGAAGAATAAATTGTTAAGTCCTTTACAGTCTTGCAATTAACTTTCGAACAAATCCACTACGGTAAAGCCAGTACTGTTCAGAAAATTCGTTTGCAGTCAATTATGATCTGTTGAATCAGACTGCTCAGTCTGTGTTTAGACTGTTCAGTAGATGTTATTTACTTGTACATAACAACAACATACTGAATTGTCTGATAAGCTATTGAAAAGTACTGAATTAATTGATTTAATCTACCATTGTCTACATAAGGAAAAGCCTGTATCAAGTCAGGGATATGACAGTTGTTTTCCATGCCTTTGAAGTGTATGAGTTTTTGCTTTTGCCATTTGATAAGGGACTTTCCGTTTTGAATTTTCCTTGGGGTTCAGTATTATTGTTATTTTACTTTTGACTGCAAGCGAATTCTATTAACAGTACTAAAATTACCGCAGTGGATAAGTCTGAAAATTGGCTGAAACACTGAAGATGACTTAAAACTTTATTATTCAGACTTGTCAGGTGATATTTAGGTCAAAAAGGCCGTTTCAGAATAAAATTCCTTTACTAGTGAAATAAGTTTTTATAAGAATACCTATCACCTTGATTGCAGTAAACTTTTTTTCCAATAAAGAGCTTAAATATCATCAAACGAAACATTAATGGCTGTAACCGTACACTTGTTTGGGTGTCTTTTGGTAAATTTTACTACTGAAAATGGAATAGTTATGACTGCCGCAGATATAGTTACTCTCCAATTTTTATTAAAAAAAACCCACTATATCACAAATGTAAATAAGAATATTTCTTTTTGATAATATTGTTTTATATTGAAGTATACAGAGTAGAGAAATCTGGACTGTCAATGGAGACAAATTAACCTTAAAGGAACGTACTTATCCTAAACCTTGAAATTTAGAGAATATTCTGTTGACACATGCTTATAACAATATTTGATGAATAAGGACTATGCGAGCATAGTAGTCAAGTTTGAAGACATAGTGCACAACTATTATTTCTTTATTCAAATAATCCGAAAATACCCATTCTTTTACCATATGATGAACCACAGAAAAAACATGTTAAATTCTTAGAGGCTTCATACGTCATTTTTATTACATCTAGAGGACAATGGTTATTTTTTTATTTTCGATTGTCCTGCAAATATGCCTTTTATTAAGCACTTTTTGGATGCATATCACTATTGCTCCAAACTCCGTCTACTCACGTGAAAATAATATGGATTGTTGTTTTAAACGAATATTATTGACAACATCTTTGCTGATGATTGCGCTAAGCTCCAATTACTCACATGAACATAGTACTATTGAATGCCTATTATTGATAACAACTGACTATTAGGCAATGTAATTGCAGAAACTATCAAATGTTATATATCATACATGAAAGTTATACATTTTATTTCATTACATGAATAGAAAAATTTTAGCAGGTCCTTGACAATAAAAACCGAGACGGTTTTAAAATATATCATAATATAATTTATACAATATGCTTCAAATTTATTTCATAATGGTGAGCTGTTTTTGTACGGATTAAAAAAAAAAGTAATTGTTTGTTTATTCAAATTGTCAAATGTATATGAATTAGGCCTATGACAGAAAATGTACTATGACATAAAACGATACACTAGTTGGAGGAGGGATATACTATTTTTCATATACCCCCGTCATAATGTAATCCTTCTAATGACCTTTTAGGGCCCAGATATGTTCTTAATTTTTTCTAAACTTTTTTCTCTCAAAATTTTCACCTCACAATGACAGGTAGCATGAAATCTTACAAAGCATATCATGAAAGTCTGAGTTTCAGAAAATCCAGTAGTTCCTCCATATGAGTGCTTTAGTATCATGCAACCATAGAGATACCCATCTGTTCCTTTATCTCGATAGTTGATAACAGAGTGTATTATAAATTGAAGTGAAATACTAGAATCATTTATACAACGAAAAAAAGCTACAGAATGGATGGTTTCTTGATTTCCTTGTTATTTTCCAGGTATAAAAGATATAAATTGGACCTATATTTGATATAAAACAAAATATTATGAAGGCCTAGACAGATGTGTGTGTTGAGGATCAACATCAGTGGTAATTTGTGTTATAAATACCTGT